CCTTCCAGCTGATCTCCTGCCTCTGGTATGGCACAGAATGATGTTGTCAAAACCTCATGTTTAATTATGTCCTGTCCTTCCACCACAATCTACATGGCATTGCCTTGTCTCCCATTGCATCCAAGAACACCTGTGTAGCACAATGCACATCACGTTGTACTATGTTACCTACCTTCACTGGACCAAACTGTGCTTCAGAGTGGCTGTGTGTAGCATGTTGCATTTCTGCCAGCAGTGTATGAGAGTGTTGCTCTACATCCTTACCAGCCTTTGGTGTTGTCAGTGTGATCCTGTGTTTTTGAATCTCTTTCTTAGCTCAATCATTGGTTTTGCTGGAGAACACACTCCAAATGTGTTTTAAAGGGCATGTAAAAGGTATAAACCTTCTAGATCCTTTTATGACTGAAAACGTCTTCATTGTAGCCTTACATTTAATCAATACATTGACTAAGTATAGAACCCTAGGATAAAATTAACTTCTCCTCTGGGGGTTGAAGGTGTTTTTCTGTATTCTTGTAGCACTAATGTATTTGAGAAGCCTGATGCCATGCTGATTTTTATTTTTCTGTAAATGACCTGTTTTTCCTCTCAAAGGGCATTTAGAATCTTCTTTTTATCTCTGTGCTTTGAAATTTCAGAATAATATGTGATTTGAACTAGGACAGACAGGGATCAAAGTTTGATTGGCAGAAAAGGAAGGGAATGTTCTCCAGGGCAACATTGGACTTGAAGGTACAGAGGTGGGAAAGAAGGAGTGCTTGGGAGTTTGAGTCAGCTATGAAAGCTTTTTGCACGCACTTACACATCTGACTTGTATAATGCAGGTTATAGAGCCTGTGTAAGTTTTTGTCCTCTATTGTAAAGTCAGAATGTTGACACCTACCTCCCAGGGTTGTAGAGAGAATAAAATTAGATCATACAAAAATAAAATAATTGAAAAACTATTCTTTTGGAAGTGGGTAGGACAACTTCTTGAAATAAGAATAGCTCCCTTTTTGGTTTGGATAAGCCTTTCATTAGTTGAATGTGATCTCCAGGGACTGGACGTTGAGCAGGGAGTTCAGATAACTCAAGGAAGAGAAACACTACCCTTAATAATAAAAGGTGGTGGGAATATTCAGTGATGGGAAACAGGGAGGTAGGAAAGAAATCTCCCATGAGTTGGGCCATGAAGCGTGAGTCAGTGAAGGTCCTCCTCTTCCCTGACTTTAGTTGGTCTAAAGAAAGTCTTTGGAGACCACATAAATGTCTAGTGGGAATAGACACACTGTTCACTGTCTGGTATGAGACATAAACCCTCTCTTCTATCTCTTTTATGAAATTCCACACTCATATAATAATACTCTTGTGGGGTAGACTTCCGTGAAGGCATCTCAAAGAAATGGATAAAACAGGTAGTATTTGAATAATGTGTACAACACTTAGCATATTGGTCAGCACCCAGTAAGAGCCAATTTTTTATTCATGTTATTATTCTTGATATTACAGTTATGAGGTGGAACTGCCGTGCTATGTACCCTATTACATTCTACAATGTAATAGAAACAGGAAAACTGCCTTATAATCCTAGATCTGCTTTATGTGTGTGTATCTTTATTTCATACTGACTAATTTTAAAACTGAAGCTGAAATCAAATGTTTTCATGTTTCCATTTTTCAATGTGCTAAATCTTAATTTGAAATAGGAAGATGGAATTAGAAAGTGTCATGGGACTGAAGTGTCTCTCTTCTGCCTGAGTTGCTTTCCAAGGGAGTAGTGACATGTAGAAATGAAGAGTCTTTATATGAGGACACCATTCTATCACTGACAATATTTATCTCGCATTTTCTTTAACGAGTGTTTTTCCACCTTCATGCAGCCATTCCAGCTCCGAGGAGCCGCATCACCATGGCTTCTGTTTGCCCACAGTTTTCTCTCATTTATAACCTCAGATTCTCTTCCGAACTCAATAGTCAAATATCAAGTTGCGAAACGCCTTGCTCATAGCTGGTGCTCGGTAAATGTTTGGTGCATTGAGCAACAACCTAGAAGTAATTACTCGAATTGTAAAAGATGGAAGCACTCAGAGACAGGCCTGCGATGGGTTCCCATCTTCAGATTGCTGAAACAATGCATTCTGAATTCTTTGGAATCTGCTTCTTACTCACCGTTGTTTTTCTAGTACAAAGCAGGTTCTCAACAAAAATAAGTAAAAATATGAGATTGTGGGATACATACAATTATTCCAGGCCTGGTGAGGTTCCTTAACCAGGTTTCCCCCCACCCTTGGGCATTCTGAACCTGAAGCTACACCTAAGTCTCCAGTGTTCTGAAGCCTGTACCTGGACTTTCTGTGATTACGACAACAATTCACCTGGACTGGAATTATTCTCATCCTTAATGGAGTCGTTTTTGCTTCTTCTCAAATACAAAGACATGCGATTTTGCAATGAAATGGCATATGCAGAAAGCCTGGATATGTCAGAGACATTTCACAAATGCCGGTTTCCTGCATGTTATTTCCCCCCAACTAAGAGGAAAACACAGGCAATTGTTTTCCAATTCCATAAACACAGATGGGGAAAAAGGTGTAGACTTAATTGTTCACAGAAATAACATTAGATTAAAGGAAGAGTTGTGCATTTTGACCACAGGACTGATTCAGCAACAAAGAGGACATGTTATAGACAATTTTAAAAATAGGACTGGCCATTATCCTGCTTAGAAACTGAAAACTAGAACTCCCTGTTAGTCAGTGACATGGATTAAATGTCCCATTGTGTCAGGGGCACTGAATGAGATATTGTACTATTTTCAAAGGCATAACAACATGTGATTTCTTTAAAAAAAAAAAAGGATTTCCAATATAAAGATAGCCATAATCAAACAAAATTGAAATACCTAAAAAAATACAAAGAACAAACAAAATCTCACACACAGTAATTTGTGGCATTTCGGCTACTCTTTGTTACAAACTGATGCTAACTTTATATGAGTGACTACAAAGACACATTTCTTCCATTGATAACAATGATCATATTTTCCAGCATGTGCTAATACTACTGTACCCTCTAAAGGATTTAGTCCAGTCCCTGGGACTCAGAAATGTGTACCTTCTTACTTCAGCCACAAATGTCCTATTTGAAGCTAAGGTTATTGGATAAGTAATATATGATAACTTCTTCCCCAGGTACTTATCTAAAAATAATATTTTTGTATAAAAAAGATTCATGTTCATGTTCAACATTTTAAAAAATAGTGCCTTTCTGCTTAGCCCCCAATTCAGCATCTATATCATTATTGCATGTGCTGGTCTTTCCTACTTGGCTATAATATCTTGGGGACAGAGAATGTGTATTGTCTCTTTGTCAAAGTTCCTGGAACAGTGTCTAAAGCATAGTAGGGGCTCAATCAGTTTTGTGAAATGAATAAATGAATGAATGATGTGGTGTTAGATACTTTATAAAGCTAAGATTCAGAGGAGGTTAAAATCAACGGGCTGTGGGAAGGGGTAACCTAAAGCTGAATTATGAAGAGACCTGATGGAGATCTCTTTGAATCTGCATATATAGGTGCATTCTGGTGTTTTAACCATACGGCTATCAATTCCCCACTTCATAAGGTAAAAATAAAATTAGATATCTGGAGAGTTAGGAGCTAGGTTAGCCTAGTACCTATAGGTACAATTTATTTTTACAGTTAATAGAAGAACACTGAATCTTCCTGGAATAACCTGATTCCAACAGAGTTAAATAAAGTTGTTCACTTTTTCAGCTTTTTGACATACATTTCTGTCTTTCTAGACTGTGAAGGAAATCTCTATTTCCCAAAAGCCCCACTGCCAATTTTAATGATCCTGTCCACGTGACATTCTTTTTTTTGTTTCATTACTATTAGTGAATGACAAGTGAAAGATATTCATTTTAACTTGAAAATGTCAGGTATGCACTTTAAGAGATATATTTTTGCAGCTTTTAATGAGGTGGTGTTTCTTTTTGAAAGAAATACTCATCTCTGACGCCAGTGCTGTGTGGATGACAACTGATATTTAATAAGCGATGGTTCTTGTATTAGTTTCTGATCTCTAAAGAAAATGTCTCAGATTGCTTTCGAGAAACTCTTAGCATCAGTAGCCCAAAGGCAAGATGTGACCTTTTTATTACATAATGATAATCATTTATTATCTTACAATGTATCTTAACGTCACAGACAAAATGCCACTTTGATAATTGCTTTCAATTAGCTTTGAGCATAGCATATATTCACAAAATGTCTTCTCTAATTTAGACTTGAATTAGAGAAAATTGCAGACATAATCTACTTTAAGCTTCTCATTTAAGGTGATTCGCAGTTTTATATCCAAGAAATCAAAACGAGGAGCTTCAGAACAGTCTCTCAAAGTGTTTTAAGTAGGCTTTCCAATATTTGATTCTATTCTATTACCAATTAATTAACAAATTAGAAGTAGTTCATCATTCCTGACCTTTTATGCATATTAACTTATAACTTTCAATTCTAATGATTGTTTTGAAATTAAGCTTGGCCGTTCATGTTGAAAGAGAGAAACAATCTGATTAGTAAGATAAATAAGGCTTGTCTTGATACCAAGTTCATCTTGATGTTTGGTCATAGCTGGGATTCTGAATACTCTAATGTTGCATCCTTTTCTGTCTTAAATAAATGATACTAGCAAATGGTAAATAAATTACATGAGATAATATCATGTAACCTAAAGAGGAGTTTGGAAGTATTGCTACAATTGAGATTAGAGGTAACAAATAGAATGATTAAAATGTGATTTCAATTAATTTTTATGTTTTGTTAGTACCAAGCATTGGAATATGGGTTAAATGCATATCTTTGTCTCTCTTAAAAATGTTTTTAAAATAATAGAACTCAGAAACAGGGTTTCTATACTTGTGGTGTTTCAGTCATTTATGGGCTACTATTAACCTAACAGGAATTCTTGGATATCGGTATTATATCTGAGATTACTCTCTTTCTCTTTTTTTTTCTTTAGATAAAAATTACACACAAGAACCAAGCCCCGATGCTGATGGGTCCTCCTCCAAAAACTGGGTTGTTCTGCTCCCTCGTCAAAAGAACAAGGAACATAAGCAAGGAATAACCGCATATTGTTTCCATTCTCAGACCTAATTAGCATATTTGGGCCATGGAACACTTACGCTGGGAATCTTTGAATCATTTCAACTCTCCTGCTCATGCAAAATCATGGAATTCGTCTAAAATTCATCTAACAGTTTTTGTTACTGAGTTAATGTAAAATTCATCTATTAGAAAATTTGTCTCAGTTTTTACAGACATCTATGCATGAAGAAAGCAGAAGTTTACATGAAGTGATATTGCAAATTTTTGTTGCATGCATTCCCATAGATTTTTATGTCTCCTACCCATTCCTCCTGCAATTTCCATTTCCTATCTGTGATAAAAAAAAACAAACTTGTAAACATAAAAAAGGATACCAAGGGGAATGTGATTCTCAGTGTGATGTCAGTTATCAGTAAGCACTGATGAGTAATGCTATGTGATCAAAACTGCAGATTGCTCTACTTCTCTCCCTTTTAGAGTCAGTGTATCAATAGTCTTTGGCCTATGACTTGAGGAGAAAATTTTAACTGAAAGATTTTATTAAATAGTTGTATATGATACCTTGCTGTATCTAAGTAATTTTTCTTTAACTTCTTAGTGCTTCTGAGTGGAACTTAAAATATCAGGCATAAAATTTTCTTGTGCTGAAAAATAGAAAGTGGTCTTTATTTTGTTTAGCTTTGTGTTTAATTCCAGAAATAAGTGAAAACATGTTACTTCGCAGTGAAGTGTGGTAATATGACAAGCCTTATTCCTTTCTGCATGTAATCCTAGGAGATTATTCATAATCACACCAGTAACCAAATAGATGTTTTAAACTACGTGCCTAATAAACTGTGTTTCCCACCAAAGATTCAGAAAAAGATGCGTGAGAGAAATGTTTTAATGCATAATTAATTGGGGAGAAAATTTATGGCTCTTATGATTAATTTTTTGATGACTAAAACTCTGGAAGAGAGTGAATTACCAATTAATTATAATTAAAATTCTCACCTTTCAGAGACAGGCCATACAACACAATCAAAGCTCAGTATTACTAACTTAACAAGGGTTAGATATAAAAAGCTGAGTTCTTGCTCTTTTTTTATTTTTTTGGTCTTTTATAAATATAAGTGTCTATTATCGGTAATAGATCATTCAGTATACTTAAGAAAGTAAATGATTGTATCAGCTCCTTTCTTATATAAATTGGTGCCTGTAATGATCCTGAGCTCATGGAAGCAAGTAATGCCCCCTCACCTGCTCCACTGCCATCTCTATGACATTTCAAATGTTTATTTGCAAATAATGGCCTCAATCATTGTTTAAGATACTCATGGCATGGTTGGATTCTCTGACTGTTTAAAGAAATTGTGGAATAGTCCTTTTCTTACTGTTTCATTTATTCTGTGATACAAACAGAAACGCTTTCCTGAGCAATTTGGTATTGTTCATTCATATTGACCTGCATCTCATCATCGCATGTTTTGCATTTTCAAACATGCCACAAGGAAGATAAGTGTTTGAAATGCATGATTTATTAGTTTCTCCCTCCACTCTGCATTAAAGTACTAATGATTTATCAGTTCTGTTTTTTTATTGATTCATTCATCTTTGAATAACAAATAGCATTTAGTGATTCTGTTGAACACAATCCTGTGCATGGATTTATGGATTTCAAGTAAAATTGCTATAATTTCTGTTCTTTGCTTTGAAAACTCAACTGAGTGCTTTATATCAAATAGCTACTCTCAAGAAATGTGCTATAAGGAAAGATTATGTATAAAGCATATTCTTTTAGTGTTCCAGGAACATTAAATGGTAAATATCAATCAACAATAAATTTAACTGCTTTGAAAATAAAAGCTTTTGAATTAAGACATAATTTAGCATTCCCAGGAAAATTATTATTATAATTATAATTATAATTATAAATGTAGTGCCATGATTGCTTTCCCTAGTATAATTTGTTTCGATGGTATTTGGCAGAACAGTAATCAAGACCAAAAAAGATTCAAAAGAGTAACAAATGTTATTACGGGTATAATGTTATGTAACATATATTTTTATGTCTATCTATGGTTACAGGTAATAGATATTTTCACATAAACTGACAAAATTGTCTACAATGATCAGGCAGGCTTTGTGTCAAATACATATTCTGAAGCCACAAATTATTTTATGTTCAGTACAACATACGATTAGTTCTTGGCTACCTTTTAGAGAATATAGTTAGAAGGCAGCAGCAGTTTGTGAATCATTCTTAACAATCTGTGTGGTGGAAGGCCATTGAAAAAGCAGTAAGAAGAGGCAAATTAACAACTGGCCCATAGGCTGCAACAATTGAAATAATGGGACATAGCTTTACTTCAGTGTAGCTCCATAACTATAATTATCAACAATAGTATTTACATGTTCAATCAAGTGGAGTCACTGGTATCAATAATAAACATTCAAATAGTGATCAAATTTTACATCTCAGAACTACTTTCTAGAGATACTCACAGGCCTGCCCTTCAAGTACACTACTCCTGGGATTTGGAAAGTAACTTATAAAAACCTGCCTGGTGGTTTTGAAGTCAAAGAAAATATTCTTCCCATTTTAATGCTAGCTTCAAGTAAAGAATATTTATTTTAAGAAAAGTCCTTTATTGAAAGTTCTAGGTTATATTAAAATATTGAATATTGAATGTTAGCTTTACAAGATACAGCTTTTTCTTGTGTATGTGGGTGTGTTTGAGTAGTTGAGTCAACCTCCTTTAAATATAGTAGACGTAGTGATGTAAAGTTTTAAGTGGATGAAGTTCTAGTAAAAATTATCACTGAGTGTACAAAGGTCAAAGAGAAAGGGAAAAAGAGATATGTTCTTTGCTAAGCATTGTTATACACTTAGTTGATAAACAGAGAGATTCCAAAATAAACCTGGAGTTCATCCTTCTAATAGGAATGATGTATTTATGTAGAACCAGGAATTTTAAAGGATGTATTTTTCCACTTAGATGTATAAACCACATGCATTTGATTCAAAAAGTGCATGTCAGCTTATTATGGAGGATGAAGGCATGTGGTAAGAAGAGAAAAAATTAACATTTAAATTTTTTAAAAAATTTTAAACAGGTTATGTGACTATAACCAGTATAAAGTGAATGGCTCAAATGTTTAGGGTAGTCACAGAAATTTATTTTTTAATTTAATTTTTATTGCATTTTTTCCATTACCACTTAGTCCCCCTATACTCCCTCCCCCAGCAATTACCACACTGTTGTCCATGTCCATGAGTCTCTTTTCCTTTTTGCTCAATCCCTCCACCACCTAAACTGTCTGTCATCCTTCTCCACTTAGCCGTCATCCTTCTCTCCATCTATGAGTCTGTCCGCATTTTCCTTGTTAGTTTGTTCATTGGATTCCACATATGTGTGAAATCGTATGGTATTTGTCTTTCCCTGACTGGCTTATTTTCACTTCGCATAATGTTCTCCAGGGTCATCCATGCTATTGCAAAGGGTAAAATTTTCTCCTTTTTTACAGCTGAATGGTATTCCATTGTGTAAATGTCCCATAGTTGTTTTATCCACTCACACAGACAGACCCAGCAGAGGGAGCCACACACTAGGCAGAAATTAAAATCCAATGAGAATTAATGAATCACGTATATAGTTCTGCATTTTATTTATTTTCTTCACCTAGTTTTATGGTGATGGAAAACAATTGCAGTTTTCAAGAAAGAATCTGTTTTAAATCTCAGATTATATTCTACTTGAATGAGACAAAACTTTTAAATGGCTCCATTGATTTTTGTGTCAAAATTAGTTTGCTATTTTGCTATTTATTGGTTACAAAAAGGAAAATGTACTTTTCATGGCACATATAACCACAAATAATTATTCGAATACCCTACATGTATCCTGATATTTAAAATGATTGAGCCCTCATAATATATGTTGAGGATGTAAAATGTAAATAAACAAAACAAACAGAAACCTACAAAAGAGCTTTTATTCTTTGAAAGGCAGAAATCACTCCTTAAATCTCACAATTAAATTGCATTCTGTTTAAAGTTTGGATAAACTCACATTGGTAGGGTTCTATACACCCTCCTTGTGTTTAAAAACATGGTATTCACTTCATTATAGTATCTTATTTTCCCAGAAAGTGTTATATATATTTATATATATATATATACATAGTATTCTGTTTTTTTTAAATAAAACTGTTAACCGCTCTGATCAGTGTCATTCCTTACTGCCACTGTGGCTAGGTTTTGTTCATAAATGAACTCTTCAAGCAGTTGAAAGGAAATCTACTCCAGTGAATACCCACTGGGAGTACCAGGCCAGCACCCTGCCTTTTGTTGGAAGTGAGAAGTCTGAGTGTTTGAGCACTGACTTCTGCGTTGTGAAGGGCCCGATCATTCTTCTTTGTTCTGCTTTGGCCCCACATTGCTGCTGTGAACATTATTCCGCAATTTCAGAGATTCTAAGAAAACAGTAAACCGGATGATAGAATTGTGGGAACTGAAAGACTAGGGCAGGGATTGTGTGAGTACCCATGTAAAATTTTCTAAATGAAACTGATTTCTAATTCTACTTTGTGTAACAGACTTCAATAATTATCTCATGGGCACTAACTTGGTACAAAGATGTTTTACCAGGGGGCTCCAGCAATCAAAGGCTTTTTTAAAATGACCTATCTCTAAAAGTCTTTTTCTGTATTAGAAGAGTGAAGTAAATGAATGGCTTTATCACATGATGGAGTAAGGTAAGAACCAAGGTAAGCGAAATGTGGTACATATTGAAATGAGCGAAAATGATTTGGTGGGAGGAATTCGTAAATGCGTCTAGGAAAGATAAATCTGCAAATGGCCTTTCCGGGTAGCGAGAATTTTGTGTGGAGAGGTAGAATGAAGGATCCCCTGAATAAGAGAAGGTGAGTGAAGGCACGTGGATAGAAATCAAGTCCCAATGCTTCATTGCCTCATTTCATACAAAGGTTAGAGTATTTATAAACTAGGCGTTTGGGTGGTGGTGGCTCTCAAAATTATTAGGAAAAGAAGGAGCAAGAGAAGAGAAAAAAAAAAAAGAGAAACAGGGGAAAGGTAAAAAATGTAGGTAATCCGGGAAGGTGGGAGAAACAATAAAAGCAAACACCAAAATTAGAATTAAGTGAGAATTAGTTTCCCATTCTGGAAGAAATACCTGAGAAACATTCATGTCCCAGGTATTTTACGTATAAAGCCTCAAAGCAATATCTGGCCATGGTACATTTTCAGGGAGTTTTTGATGTCATTTTTAAATAACAGAAGTAACTTTATAAACTCTAAAGTTCACAGGACACTAAAGTGATAGGGAATTCGAACTAAACATGGTGACGCAAAATATAGAAAAAATTAGGTATCAAAATTTACGTATAAAATAATACATTTTAAAATTTGAAATAGAGTAGTAAAAACTCCCCAGTATAAAAATATAATAGTCTAACATCTTACAAATGGACTCAGTAATGCACACAAAAGTCTGTCTCTTACTCAATTCTCCCATCCAACATCCATTCCTGAAGTCAGTTGATCTCAGGAAAAAAAAAATCACTGATTAAAATTTTGTTAATAATATTCATGTTTCAGAGAGTTCATAGCACGTTGTTGAAAAATTAGAAAATATATTTGTGCTAAGAAAGGACCGCTCGGGTTGTATGTCTGCATGTTTTCCTGCTGTACCCCATTTTCAAGATCCCACAGCTTCAAGTGGTACCCAGTAGTCACAAAGAACACTTCTGTTTCTTTCTTGCACTTCAAAGATTTGAAAGGGGTAGAAAATTTAAACACTGCACAGCCCCACAAGTGTTATTTTAATATTGTGCTACAATGTTAAAGGGGTGGTCACAATATTGAAAACGACCCCATTGTTAAGCTCCTAATGCATGTCCAGCTTCCTAGGGAATACCAGTGTGTAGACATGCTGAAGTATGAAGGCTCTGAGACTGGACCTTGAGTCCAACTATTGGATTGGCCACCTACTTGCTGTGAAATCTCAGGCAAGTTATTCAAGGTCTCTGTGCCTCAGTTTCTCAACTGTAAAATCAGAATGTGTATCGAAAGAATTAAAGAATTTAGAGCAGTGTCCGGCACACACATACATGTTAATAAAGGACAAAACATCCATGGTGTAGCAGACTTTACTCTGCTCTGCAAAAATGTTGACAAATGGTTGCTTTACCTATTAGAAAAATAGTTGTCAACTTCAGGTTCAAAATACTGGGTTGGTGTATGTCCAGGTTATTTTCATAGTGTCACACATCTTCCAACCTAATTCTCTCATAAATTTATCTGGAAATTTGCAGATGTGCCAGAATAACCTCCTCCAAACTGCAAATGTGAGCAAACATTATAACACCACCAGAGAAGCTTATACTGGACAACTCCAAGGAGCAAAGTAATATAAAGAGACATATCACCTGAATCCTTGGCTGTCCAAAGGCATAGCTCTTGAAATTTCATCAACTTCTTTTTGAAAAAATTTTTAATTACAAAAATAAACTTATTTTTCATATAATTTAGTGCTGGCTTCAGTTATACAGCAGAGTGGTTAGGCAATCATATGCATAACAGTGTTCCTCCTGATATTTTCAGTACCTACCTAGCACTGTTCATGATATTATTGGCTATATTCTCTATTCCGTACTTTACATCTCTGTGACTGTTTTGTAACTGCCAATGCGTACTTCTTAATCTGTTCACCTCTTTCACCCAGTCCCTCAATTCTCCTCTCTTCTGACAACTACAAGTCTGCTCTCTGAATCTATAAGTCTGTTTCCATTCTGTTTGTTCATTTATTTTGTTCTTTAGATTTCACATGTAAGTGAAGTCATGTGGTATTTGTGTTTCCCTTTCTAACTTATTTCACTGAGCATAAAACCTTCTACGTCCATCCATGCTATCACAAATGATTTTTTTAAA